AGCAGATACACATTCTCTAACTGTTTTTCTACGTGATAAGTGGTTGTTTTCCACAAGTATGTGTTTAGAATTTGCAATACAATTGCACTGTTATTATTTCTTAGGTCAAACAGTACCGTCGAGTCAGGTAATCGTTTTTACTTCAAAAACAAAGTTCAATCGCAAATAGTTATAGTTTCTTTATCATTACTGATTATCAAAATTTGATGAAGTCTTATGGAGAGAGACCTACATAATTGGCACAGGCTTCATCTTTCTATTAACAGGCATTAACATGGATTACATGATCAGAAAAAAAACTACAAGAATTTGGAACACATGAATTTTGTTTTGGTACAATTCTTGTCTTACTTTTGACTTATACGAATTAATTAGCTATTTATACCATAGAACTACACTGGCAGGTAAATTTTGACTTTTCTGAGACATTCTAAACCAAGAAATTATCAGAATACAAAATGGTGAATTGCGGTATTAACAGAAACCATATGAAATACTTTTTGGAAAAAATGAAAATAATTTTTTTTATCTCTTATCATCAGAAACATTGTACCACCCCAGTTTATACTTATTTAATTTGATACAACAGTAGTTTCTTTTTTTTCTGTGGACACAGACAAGAAAGAAATTACCGTTATATCTAACTAAATAAGTATAAACAATGAAATGAGAAATGAAAATAATATTCAAGCAAACTGTTCAAAATTTGGTCCCATTACAGCTTGGAGATGTTCGTAGTTCACAACATTTTTCTAAAAAAAAAGAAAAGAATGCAGTTTTATGATTTGTTTGATAAACAGGCATGCAACGACTTTTCAATAAATCCAACAACACGTCGTTTTATATTATTGAACTGCATCACGAAACAAGATTTGTGGTTTAAAAATAAAATTAAATATTTATATACACGATTAGAATATTTAGTCATGATATGAAACATGTTAAACGATTAAACATGTGGCAGGATACGCTGGCGAAAATTCCAAATTACGAAATGTGCGCTTTCAAGGTCAAGCGCCACATTTTAGTAGGAGTTAATGTTTTCGCTGGTACCATTGTCCCTAATTTTATTATAATCGACTTGTCACATTCTCAAAATAGACACAGCAAGTAACACAAATTGTTTGAAAAATATCATATGACCTTTATGTAAAAAAAAAACATAATTATCTATTTCTCTGACAAGAAAGTTTACATTTTTTACAGTATTAGATTGAAAAAAAGAATTATAAAATTCATTCATTTTTCTGCTTGTTATGATTTTTTTTTTCTTAACTTGTAGCTCCCCTAACCCTGTTAATTTTGATAGTACAAGAAAAAGCCAATAGACCATTTTTATGTAGAATTTTATGCTCTACAACTTTTATAAGAAATTTTTTTCCTAGCTGTTCCCCTTTTAAGCTATCTTGAAAAAAAATTATTGTCACTTATTGTTATTATATACCTCAAACTTGGGCACCGCCTAGCCGGGTGTCTTGGCCGATGGATTTCGATCGGCCGAGGTAAGCATCACGGACGCAGGCTGGAACTTGGATGGGTGACCCAAGGCAGGCTCAGGACGTGGCTGTGGCAGCCTACCAGAGACCTGAGTTGCTCAACATCTTCCACCTGCGTGTGGCCCCCGATAAAATGGTAATGAGAATAGAGCAATAAATCTCTGTAACTCAAGACCATGCTATCATACATAAAAAATTGTACGAGACTTTGCCACCAAGCCACTCGTGTAGTAATAGGATGGTTGAGTGATGAAAGGGGGGTGTACAAGTGCCGCGATGGAGAAGGAATTTTTCCTAGTTATGGTTATACTTGTGGCTCTTTAAGTCGAATTTACATACATATTTTTTTAAATCAGCTTTTAATATTACTTCAGCCGTCAAAGCAAATACTTTCATATTTCAGTTAGTAGTAATAGTAATAGTAGTTGTATCAGAGCAAGGTCAGCGGTTCCCAACAAGTTTTATAGTAAAAAAATCAGTCAGATTTATTCACAACTCGACTTCCATATTCTTAATTCTTTCACAAAAAAAAACTATTAAGTATATATTCTACACATTCTGTGCCGCTGTTTAAAATAAATGTAGGCATTTAATGTTCACCCTGTACACTTCCATTTTCATGCTCTGCGTTTCGGAACGCTTATTAATTTCTCCCGAACGCGTAGCGCACCTCACCTAACCTCTATTAACTCCGCCAAATCGATTTCCTCCCATTTAACACCCATATCCGTTTCATAGTTCGTGGCTAGAACTGTGCAACCGTGAAATGGTTCCATAAACATTTATGTGCTTTAGAGGTGGTACCCCGGTACTGCAGCGAGTGCAAGTGCAGTGTTCACACTTTTGATGATCACTGCCATCGCCGTTGTATCGAGGATGATTTTTATCCAACTCGCTGGAGAGGTCGCTTTGCTTACCGGAGCTTAACTGTCTGAAATTAATAGCGCTTATTTGGAAGGCTTAGTGAACACCGAAGGCGAGAAAATAAAATAACTAATCTTATTTTTAAGATACTTTATCGAAATTTAGAGAAAAATGAAATATACCACAATTAAAAAGTCAGTTATGTAAAAGTGATAATCTCAGAAAAGGTACCTACAGAGAGGAAGAGTTTAAAATTCAATTTTCAAGTAAAACGGATAACGATGAACAACCGTTGCAAAATTTCAAAATAGATTTTTATTTTTTTTTAAATATATCGAGAATATCATTCAGAATGACGAAAAAAAAATATCGTGGGAGTTTGAGCCCTTAATATTAGTTTTAAGAGGTCTATCATCGCTAGTTTCGATTTTTTATTCCTGATCCCATTTTTGCGTCAAATTTGTCAAACCATCGAGGTAAAAAAAAATATCTACATATATTTTTGAAGCAAATTGAATGCCCTACAAAAAAGGTCTGATTGAAAATTTTCAGCAGACGAGCCGTTTCAATGTAATCAAGTCTTGAAAATTGATGTTTTTTCGATTTGACTTTTTAACTTTGGAATTTTGTAAATAACGAACAAATTAATATCTGAAAAGAACAATACAGATTTTCAAAGGAAATTTAATGCTCTACAAAAAAGGTCTCTTAACATTTTTGCATAAATTTACTCCTTCAATTCACGATTGAAGTTGAAGTAAAAATTAAATTTTTGTTTTTTTGTATACATTTATATGAAAGAAAAATCAGATTATGGCTCATAAAAATAATCGAGGTCACTTTCAATTAGTCGGCATTTGTAACAGACGTTGCGATTGTTAAGGAGAAGGGGAAGTATTTTCACTCGTCATAGCGTTAATAAGTTCAGGAAAAGCGAAACAAATAGAGGGGTAAGGGAGGAAAGTTGATATACGCGAATTCGTATATATTAATACAATATTAGTACAATATTATAAATAAATAATCTTCAGTAGTAAAACTACATGATAGTTATTTTTAAAATTATTTTGAAACAGAAAAACTACGTTCTTGTAGAAATAATAGCTATTGAGCGAGAATAAATTTGAATATATTATGAATTTTGGATATTTTTGGTGATTATATTGATAGAATAATAATTGTCGATGATGTATAATATCAATTTGTTCCATTGAGTGAAAAAAATTGGGTCCAAAACGAAAAAAAACAAAAATATTTTTACTTCAACTTCAATCGTGAATTGAAGGAGTAAATTTATGCAAAAATGTTAAGAGACCTTTTTTGTAGAGCATTAAATTTCCTTTGAAAATCTGTAAAACATATCAATTTTCAAGGCTTGAAACGGCTCGTCTGCCGAAAATTTTCAAAGAAATTTTTTGTAGGGCGTTCAATTTCCTTCAAAAATATATGTAGATAAATTTTTTACCTCGATGGTTTGTGGCAGTTTTGACGCAAAAATAGGGCAAGGAATAAAAAATCGAAACTAGCGATGATAGATCTTTTAAAACTAATATTAAGGGCTCAAAGTCCCACGATATTTTTTTTTGTCATTCCAAATGATATTCTCGATGTATCTTTCAAAAACAATAGTCGATTTTTTGGACCAGTCTAGTCCACATTTCTGTATTTTGCTTTGCAGGTAAGCTCATATTAAAAAGGATGTTAAAAGTTCCGTATTTACTTTTAAATCACTGAAAATAATCGGCTGGAAATTCTAATAGTGCGATGACATGACTATATTTATTCACTGCTCTATTTTTCCTGTTACTTCTACAGTCTCTCGTGAACTGGAACTAATGACTTTTCGTCACTTAGTAAACCGGGTGCCTTTTTTCAATCGGCACCACGAGGATCTCGGTTATGCAAAGGGATACAAGGTCGGTCAAATTAGGACAAAATTACAGCATTTGATATCGAAAAATACGATGACAAGACATTTTGACTGTCCTTTTGTCAGATATCGTTTTCTTTTGTTTAGAAAGTAGAGTATTCTACATGTTTTATTGCATTCTCAATCTTCTATAGGCTGTTATCTCATCTCTCAGTACAAAAAGTAGATGGATAGATGGGTGGATGGGTCGGTTTTATAGGTGGTACAGGTAAATGAATAAATATGCGTATTCATGCATGAACCACTGGATAGAAAGATGTATGAATTCATAAATGGGTGGGTGGATAAAAAGTTGCTTCCAGAACTCTGCAACAAGAATTATGCCATGAATATGGCGTTTTAAAGCATTTTGATCTATTTTCTGTTTTTGAATGAAATTGAATCAGCTTGTCTGACTCTATGATGATAGATTGGAATTAAACGAATGAAAAATCATACGTCTAGTGAGCTGGTAGAATAATTTGACTTTTTATAACTTTCGTTGATCGTAAATGACGTTTTTTGTGAATTTTGACCTGTTTTTTAAATTTTCCCGAAAACTCAGACCTGTTGGGCCAAATCTGAAGGCAGATTCGGATTCAGAGGAAAAAAATACATGGAAATACATGGGTCTGAATACCAGATCCGATCCTTTTTTTGTGGGGCTGTGTAATGCGTCGTTTTAGGCACTAATGCAGAGAACAGCGTTCTGTTGAAAAAAACTAGCTTACCTTTTAAGAGTTTGGTGCTTGCCGCCGTTGATGATCAGCTTGGGCTTCCCCTTCTCGCTGGTGCTGGTGGGCGTCGTCATGGAGCTGTGGCTGGCCGTCGCCGTGGTGGCGTCGCTGGCGAAGCTGCTGATGCTCGTGTCCTTGCTGATCGGCGTGGAAGTCCTACCGTTGGCGATGGGCTCCGAGCCCAACGTCAGCTGCAGGTGGGTCTTGCCGGGACCCGGGGGCGGCTTTTCGTCCACCGGAAGCATGTACGACAGCATCGTGGACGGCTGACGCGGTGTTACGCGCACGCGACGACGGTTCAGGTGGTTAACATCGTAGTGTTAGAGCACTGAGATGAAACGGCACTGCACTGGGTAGTGACGAGCACGAGGGTGCGGCCTGAAAGAGAAGGTAATGTTAGTACGTGATTAATTTCGTATTTTCGTATGCGGCACGTCATGGCACCAGACGGCATGGTCTAACGTGAACCATTTTAGTATTTTGAACGCGTGGAGCTCTGCTTCGCGATGCCGCGCCATGCCGCGTCGTGCCGCATCGTGCCGCGTCGTGCCGCATCGTGCCGCGTCGTGCCGCATCGTGCTGATTCGTGACGGAGAAGTGACCGACTAACTTTACAGAATTAGGAGAGATTACGAAGTATATTACACCAGTTCTAAAACATGTAAAACTTTGTGAAACTGGATGATAATACAATTCGTCCCATTCAGGTACATCATTAATTTTTGCATAGCATTTAAAACTATGTTTTTTTATATCTATATACCAAAAAGTACTCCATCTAAATAGGTAAATAAATAAAAAAGTTTGGAGGGTTGGCTAGTCCCTAAGCACAACACACTGTATATTTATAACGATGTGGATCCAAAGTTGGATTAATGACAATATTCATACATAAAATAAAAGTAAAATTGACAAAGACAGCACCAATTCACGACTTAAGAAGCTTAGATGGATCCTGATGAACGATATCATTTTTAGTTGAATAAATAAAATAATCTACGTTTGATCCACTCAAATTATATTATTAAACCCTCAGAATGACAGACATATTGGATGATAAGCCTCGCAAGAGGACAAGAAAATTGATTCACCGATTACAACGTTGCCCTTTCACATGGAATTAGTAACAGTGCGGAGTATTCTTCAGTACAAAGAGTAATTTTGTTTCAACGGAACTAAAACTGATCCGTCGCAAATTACGAACGTTTATTCGAAAATAATTGAGGCCTTTCACGACCAAGTTACATTCTAATGAGGAGAAAAAGCCGTTCGTCGTTTGTTAAATTACTTCCATCTAAGTTTGTAAATTGTAATGTAGAAGAAGCAACTTTTCAACCGACTCTAGTCGACAACTTGTAACATAATGTTAAACCAAATAACCACATAATGTTAAAACAAATTCTTGAAAATAAAAATGTAAGTTCCTGTGAACGACACTAACCGTTTTTTTCATTTCTTATGTATGGTTTTCGAGATTCCAGTAAGTACACAAAATTCAAGGCCTACTAAATTATCTCAAGGTAGCATCTCGAAACAATATTTCTTCGTAAAACTTTAAAATGGTACAAGCTGAAAATTTCTTAGTTGTATGAGTACATTATGTTAAGTATAACGAATCTCTGATCGTACCTTGTCTACGTAATTTAAACACCCTGTATATTTAGTACTGTCATTAATCACCAATCACGATTCATTGCAACAAAATAGATGAAATAAAAGAAATATAAATGTAACTACGATCAGAAAAGTCCTATCGAATATACACTTTATTAACACAAACAATGCGTTATCGATAATAAGATAAATTTGAAAAGATACATATGTTAAGATAGTTTGTTGGACCATAAATATTTCCGATTGTTCTCAGAAACGATTAATGAACACAGAAATATCTAGGTTCCCTTATTATAAAAATTTATCATTTATTTTTTAAAGGATCTATCGTTCAAACGCAATTTTGGAATACATATGAATTCTCTAAAAGTTGTTGTTCATTGTAAAAAATTCTCACGATTTTTTCCTAAAAAAAGTGGCAAACTTTTTGGTATTTGATTAATATTATATTCAAATTTTAGGATAAATGTCGTTGAGTTTGACTTGTACTAATAACAAATTTGTAGTTATCCTCATTTACTAACACAACCAAGATAAATTTAATTTAATGTACTCAAAGTGATATAGTTTTCATATTATCATGATAATTAATTTACTTATATTTTTAAATGTTTATAATCTGGAAATCTACTAAGCGTAATTTTTTATAAATGTAATTTAGCATTGAAATGGCTGCTATAATTATGTGTTTGTATCGTCTGGATATTTATACAGAAATTCTGTTTATATTTTGTCGATTTCTTTAATAATAATGGTCAAAATCCCCATTATTTATTTTTTTATATAATCCCAAGCCATCTTTTATCTAATCTGTAGATATAAATTTAAATTTAAAAGCATAATCTTATTAAAAATATAAATTAAAACTGAAAATAAACTTATTTTTAATGATTCAATTTTTTTGTCCAAAATATATTCAAAAAAAAACCCTCACTGATTAGATCATTGACTCTTGCAGCAGAAGTCTTACAGATTTGTATATTTAATACTATATCTGCTTATAAATAGGTGAATTCGATATTCAATGTCAATTTCATTTGCAATAAACTGATTGACTTCCATTTATTTTTAAACTATGTAATAGTAGCTAAAATTAATTATTAAAAAATACCCACCTTTCTTCAAGTTGAAATTATATTTTGGGTCCAATTAGGTACCTATTTCGACAAATTTTACATTTAGTGTTGGACAAAATTTTAATATATCGACATGTCAATATTTGCTTAGATTAACTGATAAAATTGTTTCACCGAAACCAATAAATATTATCGTAACATAGTTTTCCCTGTAAATTGATATTAGCAAATGCTAAAAGGAAATACATATGTACAATTGTACATGTTATGTAATCGATAAATAAATTTATAAAAACTAAAATTAATAGAAACGTCGAGTTAAAAATTTTCTCATATAAAAAAAATTATTTCCCAAAGATTCCGCGCATTCTTCTTTTAAAATAAATTACCATCTTTTTAAGTTAATAAAATTAGTAAAATTACACTACAGCAGGCCAGGTTATACTACACGCAGCCATTTTTTTATTAAAATTCATAATCTAATAACCGTTAACTGAATTAAGAATGCCATCGCACGCTTTTTCAAGCCCATTAAATACCAGAATGCGATGCAATTTCACATGCAAATGCCTGGCATGTTAATTCACGCACTCAGTCTCGTATTTTATGTTTTTCTCAACAAAAACAAACAATCCCGCACTAGAAGATATTAAATCATAATATTGACATTAAACTTGAACTGATTGGCTGCACATTAAGCTATTAATAAACAGTTACGTGTTCAATATTTCCATGTCAATGCATAAATAGTGGAAACTAATTTATATGAAACTTGCTAAAGGGAGAACGGACCTCAATTGTCGATAAATCACGTTCAAAGTGGCGGCATCCTCTACAACGCTTGATAGCATTCTGCATTCGCAACAACTCGACGACAGACAAATCGCTACTAAAAACGTAATCTGATAATCTCAGATTTAATCATTATAAACGAGAAAATTTTAAACAGTATTTGAATATTTTGAACCGCACTTAAACAATTGAATTAGGTTTGTGTATGAACGCAATAGCGATAAAATTAAACCTCCAATGATGCGCACGAAATGAACATAAAATAAGAAGTGGATCTTATTTGTGGAAGGGCGAAATGGGCGGTGACTATTAAACGTCTTTATTATAGCCATCTTTCTCTATCGCACGGATTTCTATAACTTTCTTTATCGCTCTCACGTAACGGCCGATGAACTATGGGGACTTTCCGACCCTGTAGACAGCATAGAGTTCCGTGCGACTCAAGCACAACAGTTCGATGCTGATAAATGCAGTACTGTATAAGGTAAGACTGCACCGGTGCAGCTTTATCTCTACGTGTACGGGTGCCTTTATAAAGTGCATTCGCTGAAAAATCAATGAATCACTGAAGAAAAAAGTATTTTATACGAATTGAACCAAGGCGACCACAACCTTTATTAAATACAGCATTTCCATTATTTAATAGTTTATTATTACGTCACGGCGTTATTTACTTTTTTAAGACTCTTAAGAATAGAAGGTCGAATCATATGATTTATTCAAATGAATTCTAGGTCCAGAACAAAACCAGTTGTAAAACAGCAGGATTGAAAATATGTCGGACAAGGAAACAGTTTTTTCTAACAGCAGTAAAAAGACAGGACATTCAGTAAATAAAAAAGTATTTAAGAATATTAATTTGAAATACTGAATTCCAAAAAGACTGCACGACCTATTTATTTAATAATAAATTAGATGATAATATTTTACGTTGTTATAAATGTATTAAATTGACTGAAATTCTAAAAAATTTACTAAAAAAATCTCAGTAGCGTAGAATATTAAGGTTTTTGGTGACAATGGCTCCGCCAATGCTGGCCTTCAATTAGTGTCCAAGACATCTTCAGAGATACTTGAAAAACGTGATTTTTTTTCAAATTTCAATACCCTGTATCTCGAAAATCAGTGACTATAAAACCCTGGTTCATTAAAACTTTTTCCTAAATTAATTCACGGAACACAGCACTGAAGTTATGATATGGGCTTAAGAAACACCCTGTGTTCACGATAGAAGTCTCTAAAACCAGTGCAATAAAAATAGCAATCGCAATGCTTTTATTGCACCGCTTCAAAAACAAATATTTTACTGGTTAATGTTTATACTGCCTTTTACTTTTAAAACTATACCCGGAAGCATTGTCTTATTCGTTCTCGCATCATAAAAATCAAGGAGAGTAACACCAATATCTATAAATAAAACAAAAAAGTGAATATAAATATGTTTGATCATGAACCTCGATACTGTTGACTTTAACAAGACATTGACATTTAACAAATATTTGGCAACTAGTTTATTCCTAACCAGAATTTTTTCCACGTTGAAATACCTAAATGTAAACGAATTATTTACAGATACGTAGTGCTTTTCTAGGGGAACCAAATTACTGCCTCTCCGCGTTTTTCAACGAGACTCTGCCCCTTGTTTTCGACAGATGCTGTAAGGGCGACGAATTAATTTATAACCATCCCAGCCTTATTTTGCACCCCCTACCTCGACAATTACCCAGAGATCGAGGATCGAGATTATCGTGCCATTTCCATATTCGCTTTCATTA